GCGTCAGTGGAGAAAAATGGCCGCATTTTTAATTCTATTGAAATGCAAATTACCTGTGAAGGTTTGGAAATAAAGGATATGTTCATTTGAAAGAAAAAAACTATTTATGATTACCCAAAACGAATCTATATTTACAGATAAATGAATCCACTTTTAAGATGAAAATACCCTGATATCGAACAACTGGGGTAATTCGGTGGTTACGAATGATAGTGAACATGATTTATGACAAAAGACTGAAAAATAATTGCATGGAAATAGAATATGTCCGTGATAATGGTTCTCAGCACCACGTATTTTGCGAGCTACGGACTGTAAATGTTTAGACAAAAGATCCTCCAACAATGCAGCATATATTCCTCCGTCCTTAACCTACAAACTTTCATAAATAACTGGTGTACAACCTTCCTACGTAGTACGAGTATTCTCATTAACTCCCATCATTGATAAAGTCTCTTGCTCTTCTCGAGCACCAACGAATAAAACTTGGAACTTTCGTATCAGATTCGTGTCAGAGTCATCGTTAATATCTTTTCGAAGGAAACGTGACGGTATATTAGGAGTAAGAGGAGTATAAGAAATTCTGCAAAAATTCACTAAAATATTTTCCAGATTGTTGAGAATTCAATTCTTCAGAAAATATTCAAAACAAAAAACCTTTCCACTGATAATTTATTATTTTTCAATATAGTAACCAAAACCAGAAAACTTTAAATGAGCCGTTCAAAAAGCCAGATCGGTGAAGAACTATAGGATCGAAAAATATAGAAAAATGGTACACTGTTTTTAAAATTTTTAAATCTTCGAATTTACTACTACTCGCAACATCGTCTGCTCTACTTGATGGAATTTTAGCGTCTGAGAGGCTCAAATGAAAGATGGAACCGCGAATGAAAACAATAGGCTTGCAGTAATTGTGATGCACGCGAAATTGCAGCGTGAGAATCATCGACTTCACGCGATCGCGCTTGCATCCGGACTTGCCAAGCAATAAAAAAAAAAAACGGGGGAAAAAAGGGAAAAAGAAAGGAAGAAGAGAAAAAAAAGAAAAATTGCAACGTGTAATTATTCCATTCGCGATAAGCCAACGGAACGAGCATGCTTATAGCGGTTTATTTTGAGACCGCGGCTTTAATTGTGGACCAAGCGAAGTGTCTACTAATTGTAGAAACGGTGTACTGCGAATTCGTTTTAATAATACCGGCGTTGATTGCCATGCTGCTCGCGAGCCACTTGCCGAGATTTTAATCGACCTCGCGTTTCCGATCTTGCGATTGTTTTTTCTTTTTTTTCTAGCCTCGCTTCTTTTGTAATGGCTTTATTTCGCCGGGTACTCCTCGCGAGAAAGCGCTCCCGATTCGAAAATAGTCGTAGGCACAATATTCGTCTCGAAGATAACGCGAGACAAATTGTCACGGTGACGGGAATTATGTTGCGAAAGATAGGATAAGAAACACTGATGTACAGTCTAACGTCACTTTTGGAGAAACAGATAACGCTGGAACTTGCCTCGGTGGACCAAAAGAGGGTGGCGTGTTCGCGTTAACTTTAATTATGATAATTAGGCGTGTTCGGTTACCGATAAGCATTCGGATACAGCATATCTGAATGCTTGTTAAAGAGGAAAAGCACGCTCGGCGAGTTACACGCGTAACTGATCGTGTATTCTCATTAAAAGATATAAATCTCGAATTATTCTTAACACTAGAGCTACTAATTGTAGATTCGAGACTACATATGTTGTACAAAATGAATGACAGTGAAAGATAAAAACAATGTCTCAAACAAAAGTTTATAAAATTCCTATAAATAAACAAAATACGAGTTGGTTATTCTTATTACTCTAGCAGTTCTGGTATTAAAAAACCGTATGACGCAAACTCGCATTGATGTGACACTATCGCAAATGTTTGTATTATTAATTTCTACCGCTTTTTGTCGTAAAAATGATCAATTTACGAGGGGAATTGAAAAGAGAGAAATTTCACAGCATTTTATAACTAACGAACGAAATCAATTAGAGACGAGTTCAATAACCTTCGACACAATGGAGTTCAAGGTCGTTAAAGTGGAACAATTAAATGAACATTTTAAAGATTTCACAATACTACGATCTTTTCGTTCTCGTGGTCGCAACGATTTTCATACGTAAAAGATCTCAATTGTAAACTTCAAGTAATTCATGAGCGAAAATTACAATAAATTTCAAAAATCTATACAGGCCATCGTATTACGTGTAAGGAATAATCTGAAATTTTTAATCTACCACTTACGAGAAAACCGGTCAGAAATAATAACACCGTGACAACATTCTGCGTGTCTAAATGACGTAAAAAATCGGAATCACGTGAATGGAGGTTTGGTTTAACAGTAAACCGCGAGGACAAAGAGAAAATCACTGTGGACTCACCGAAACGTCAACGTCGTCAAAGGCCTGTAGCTCTTATGGCTGTTGATGTCGTGCATAGGGGTGCCCCAGAAGTCGTCCTTCAGGATGCTGGTCCACGGGTTTTGGGCGAGTACGTCCTTGTTCCTCACCACCGCGGGTATATCGTCGTGCACGAAATCACCACCTAACGCGTTCAGGTAACAACCAACGGCGACCAAAGCGACCGTCGCGTAAATACACCATCCGGGCGGTTCGTTCCCCTCGGAGTCGTTGCACCCGCTACGACCGGCCCTCTTGCTGTTCTGGCAACAGCAACCGTTGTTTCGTCGTCTCATGATTCACCGAACGCGAACTACCACCGCCGCGCGAAAGGGGTTAAACGTTCTGCCGCGATCGTCGGCAATGATCACTCTCATGGAGGCCAGATAAGCTCTTTCATACGCCGCTATCTACCGCGTTGATAGATCCTCGTGGTAGAACGAGTCCACCGTTCACCGTCACACGACTCGATCGCCGATCGCATCTCAAACACCTCGAAGACCGCGAACACGACATCGACATCGGTTCTTTTTCTCCGTACTATCCGTGTAGAACCGGGACAGAGGGGACACGAAAGTGGCAAAGCTTCTCGTTACGAATCACGGATTACGTACGTTACGTTCGTTCGTTCGTACAGTGGCTCGTGGCTGTTTGCATTTAGACGAGTAATCGTTCTCTTCGAACGACTGCCACGCGATCGCAGAACATTCGATGGAGACAGGCAGATAGAGAGCAGGCGGTGTTTTATTTTTCCTATTTTTCTAGGGAAATTCAGCGAGCATCAGTGACGCGGGCGATACTACCTGCGCTGGCTCGCGTTCCACTCTTCCATTTACTTCAGCTAGGCTAGCTTTGAGCATTCGTTGGCCTCGCGGTGAGCTTGATAAATGACTGCGGAGGTTCATTATTTATCGAGCCGGCACGTCCAATGTGTCCGCTCTAAAGAGAAACGGGTTTCGCGCGAGCTGATTGCTCTTCCACGGATAATAGTTCTCGCATGGTTGAGATTGTCCCCGTGGGAGGGTGACCGGTCGCGTCCTTCCTTTTACCACCACCCTTCACCCTTCTCCACCACTCGCACAGCTGTAACGATTTAACAGCTCGTTACGATCACGGGTATCGAGTTACCCGACGACACGTCGTCGCGACGTAGTACGCGAACTGGTTCGACCGATCGGTACCGGCGACCGATCGAAACAACCGACCGATACGTGTTTCGCTCGAATCACCGCGATCACCGCGATACACTACGCTCCCCTACGCGAACAAAGAAGTGGAAACGAGCTCGCGTGCATCGGTTGTGTACGTCTCGCCTGTCGAAAAAACCGTGCACAATCCCACAGTGGAAACGAAGTGTTTTACCCACTGTGTTTCAGCCTGGCCGTTTTTGCGGTAATTCTCTCGCGAATATCGACATCCAAGATCCTCCTTTACGGTTCTTCGTAAGCGCACTTCCGTTTCTTGTTCCGTCTTCGTAGCAGTGTTCGAAGCCTTCGCGCACTTTTTCTTCTTCTCGCATGGACGAGCTGACGAGGCAAAAAGACGCGTTAACAACCGACTCGTTCTCTCATCGCGAATGCGTGATTACGTATTCCTGCCGTATTGATGCCTTTGGTTCTTTGGTTTCTTGGTTTCTTCAACGAGTGCAACACCGCCGGGGAGATATCGACGCTCCGAGTCGGCGAACAACGGGCACTCCTCCCTCTCCCGTTTCTTCCTTTTCAATTTCAGGCGCATCCGTTCCCACGGCCAGACGACGACCCTATCCTCTCTCCGCACGGGACAGCGAATCTCGCGAAATTATGGAAAACGAGCAGCGACATCGGTAACAGGCGGATACCAGCGCGCGGCAGAGAGAGAGAACGGCTGTATGACCCAGATATACGCCATCGTGGCCGGGCTACTTCTATTGCCGCGACTTTCCTATGCATATAGATCTATACAAGCGGTGGTATCTGGCCGGAGGCGCGCACAGCACACCTCTCCAATTCCCCGCAGTTCCGCCCCTTATTCTTCTCCTTTTCTTCGTTTCTTCCTTCCTTCCTTCCTTCCTTCCTTCCTTCCTTCCTTCCTTC